GTTGGAATGACGTTCTTCGTAAATATTTTTTGATGAGAATACTAAGTAGCATCATTTGTGTTTCCGCTGTTGAGTAGGGTTCCAGGGCTCCCTGTGGTAGAGGATTGGGTTCAGGCCCGCAAGGTGAGGATGGCTGGAGCAGCACACTTTAAATAAATAAATATTTCCAACACCCACACCAATTAGCCTAGTCCCAAAGTAAGCACTGTAAGGCTTGTGTTATGGGATACTAGGGTAACGGATAGAATACATATACTGTACATATATAACCATATTTATATATACATAAAAACATCCATGACTGGAGTACAAATGCTCGTATTCATCACACAAACATCTGCCCCCAACGGGACCCAAACCCGGGACCTCTCGAGTCGGCGACAACACCATGAAACCCGGCGTACAAACCACTCGGCCACGGAGGTCCGAGTTTCAGCCGTATCATCTATCTTCGTGGCTGGGCTCTACTTACACCACCATCAGCAATTTGTTGAGTCTCGTACAAATGTCCTTTTAGATAAACCGGACCAAAGGGAAAGTAAAGAAATCTTCGGAAAAGTTTTTGATGTGTAACATCTTTCCTCTCGCTTTCCTGCAATTTATGGGAGTGATTTTGTGAAACTGAACGGAAATGTGTAACAGGAAGTCGCGAAAGCGCGCGCTATTTGATTTTAGAACATAATGTTCAAATGGCTTATTCCTTTTGTAGCAGGTTTTATTTCTTTTTTTACTAATATAAGTTGATGTTTCAAATGTTACACATCATGCGCGACTACTGTAAGGCTCGCTCGTTTTTTACTTTTGCTCCAAGTGTAGCCCATGCCTATTGTATGTTCAAACGGAACGTTTAGTTGCCCTGCGAATGTAGGTCGCCTCTGATTGATGGCGACATATACATATATATGTATGTGCTGTATGACTACAGCACACCTAACGTAGGTATCAATCATCACAAGAAACCTGCGTGTCTGTGGTGGAGGCACCGGCACGAGTTCTATTCTTGGTTTGATACCAGGGCGTCATCAAGGGGGACAGATATTATAAAAATATGGAAAATGTAAAGTTACCGAAATCCTTAGTACACTTGACTTGCCTGAACAAACATTTCCGCTTCCTGCACGTTGAAACTCTAATGAATTCACTAGGTAATTCCAATACCAAATGAGCACCATGTACCCATAATTCATACTTTTTGACGACCTCCGTGGAGTGGTTTGTACGCCGGGTTTCACGGTGTCGCCTTTCATACTCGAGAAGTCCCTGGTTCGAATCCCGATGGGGAGCAGATGTTTGTGTGATGAATACGAGCATTTGTACTCCAGTCATGGATTTTTAATATGTATTCCTATTAGTGTGTTATGCAAGAACAAGACGAGACTTAGCCAGTCTTGGTCTTGGTCTTGCAGCAAGTCTTGCAAGTCTTGCAATTACCTATTAGACTATTGCTATTTATTAAAGTTTACTTTAGATCTTAGAAAAGCGTATTAGAAATGGAACATTGTGAGCTTGAATTAACATAGCACTAGTAAAGACCAATCAGATTAATAAATCTCTGAAGATTTGATAAGAAATTCGAAAAATCAACTGCCACATGGTTATCAACTGAGCTATATGCCGTTTTCCATGGGAGTGACTGTTTCTTAATAAACATTTACGTTTATAAGCTTACATATGCTAAAACATGTAAAAAACAAATTAATTACAATAACTGGACTGTATTTAAAAGAACTATATCTGTCTAGAAAGAGATTGAACCCTCAACTTATATGAAATTTAATAAAAGAGTTTTACGATTTATCATTTGTTTGCTATGTATGTTTATGGTATTGGTCGTAATGCGCATAGGTCCAGTTTTTCATATTCTTTGATACAGTTTTTTGCGTCTCATAGAATTCCTAAGCGTACTATACACCGAACTGTTATACCTAACTACTCCGTGAAATAGCGCTAAGTCCTAGCTGCAAGACGCAAGAGTCTTGCCGGATTAGTCTTCTTCTTGCTCAAGTCTTGCACGGTCAGTCTTGGTCTTGGTCTTGCTAAAAATACGCGGTCTTGTTCTTGGTCTTGATCTTGCAAAAATGCAAGAACAAGACCAAGACTGAATTTGAGCAACACTAATTCCTATAAAAATATACTTACATATGTATTCTATCCGTTACCCTAGTATCCCATAACACAAGCCTACAGTGCTTACTTTGGGGCTAGGCTAACTGGTGTGAAAATATTTATTAGTATTACGTCTACGTCGAAGTGTAGCTAGACAATGTTAAAGCGAATTGATTTTATATTTTCTAAAACTGTACTTATATGATTCTAAGGCTCGGAAAACGATCATGCCATATTGTACATATTCATGAAGCCGTGGGTATTCCCCCTAGTCTGTAATACTAAATCAAGTCCCATGCAAATTTTTCCTCTGCGTAATCGTGTTTGAGGATAATTTACGTACCACATATTATACCATTGGGATGTACTCACCTGCGCTCGTAATAGTTATATTTATCTCCAGTGCCGTCTTTGACCTATTGGAGGCCCTGGGCATATTAGGATAATCGGGCCCCTATGACTTCCGTTTGGTGATTTAACAGGAACTAGGGACTTTGTATTTGATCTGAGGCCTGGGCACTTCCCCAAAGTGCCCACTGGGAAAGACGGTTCTGTTTATCTCTATATGTATCTTTGTAATTATTAATTTGAAAACTCTTTTGGCTATAATAGAAGCTTTTGCGTGCAGTATTCTACTTGGAGTTGTAATGTTTTTCATTAGGAACCTCTTCACGGATTAAAAAGTATTGTTTGTCCAGATTTCGGTCTTCCTATATGCCCAATTTCATCCAATTTCGCTCATCCCATATTTCCCCCTCCCTTTCCCTTCCCTCCCCTTTCAACAGGATTGAGTAAAAAGCACACAAAACTAAACAAAATTATTAGGGAATGCAATATCGGGATACCGCATATATTTTACGGGACTAATTTCGCTCTAAAAATTTTCGGGAATATATAATTCCCAATAGGGAACTGAGCTGATGGGAATACAGAGAAGGGTGATTCGTACATTGTTTTTTATTTTAATTCGTTTCGGTCTTCCTCGGTCAGGTTAAAACTTATAAGTATTTATAATAAGACTTTTATAAAGACATAATATGACATTTGATCTCAAGGATCCCGTTCAGAACTTAACAAGCATCCTCAAATACTGTATTTTATTTGTGTCACAATTAAGACCATGAAAAGTGGTTTATTAGTTTTTCATTGCAAATGAATTCAAAAGTTTAAATCCATTGCTGGATCCCACAAATACCGGGATTCAGCGGGAATAAGATGGCTCAATTCCGCTTATACCTGGATTGATATTGGGTGCATTCCGTATCAAACACCAGTACGCTGGCCAGTGGTAATGACGTCATGATTTCGACGCCATATTGACAACACTACTACTACACCATAGTACAGTCAATCTGTAGGTTGAGGGTTGAAAAAAAAACCTAAAGGATAAGTCTTGTTTTTTCTATTGCCAAATGACGTCAGTAAGCCACCTTGGCGATGGGCATGTTCAACTCGTAGGCGTTTTTTTAAATACTCAAAAAAATCGTCAAAAATTTTTTGAAACGCATTTTTCTTATTTTGTATGCATTTTACAAACTTTTTTTTTTACCATAATTGTAGAGGGCGTTGAGTACTACAATTTATGTCAATGTTGCAATCTCGTACAACAAAAAATGCGCATTGTAGGTGGCGCTGAAGTCTCAAAAAAGTGTTTTTTCACTTTTTTTCTTTTTTCATGATTGAAAAAAAAATAGTAAAACGTCCATTGAAATGTGCACTGCAAATGTGTACGTGAACTGCCCAAAACCGCTCTATTGGATTTTTCATACCTGCGCAATTTATAACTTGAAAACGGTAAGTAATACAAAAAAATTGTTCATACAAAAGTTGTTGGTAATTATGTACGAAACAACTTTGCCATTTATAGTTTTCCATTAAAATGATATTTTCAGGGTGAAAAAGTGAAAAAACACTTTTTTGAGACTTTAGCGCCACCTACAATGCGCATTTTTTGTTGTACAAGATTGCAACAATGACATAAATTGTAGCACTCAACACCCTCTACAATTATGGTCGAAAAAAAAGTTTCTAAAATGCATACAAAACAAGAAAAATGCGTTTCAAAAAATTTTTGACGGTTTTTTTGAGTTTTTCAAAAAACGCCTACGAGTTGAACATGCCCATCGCCAAGGTGGCTTACTGACGTCATTTGGCAACAGAAAAAACAAGACTTACCCTTTAGGTTTTTTTTTCACTGAAACGATATTTTTTTCGACAGATTGACTGTACTAACCAGTGCAATATGGCGTCGAAATCATCACGTCATTACCACTGGCCAGCGTACTGGTTTATATTTCGGAATACACCCATTATCTTGCGGGATTGCATTCCATACCAATAATATTAGTAAACTACTAGCAAACCAGTGAACCAAATGTTCACCAAAAAAAAAAATGTATTTAATTAATTGAGAACTTCGGAGATTTTGTGTGGTTTCGTTTGAAATAGAAATCACGTGATTTCTCGAAAACCGGAAGTGCTACGTTACTCACATCCGGTTTGTAGTCTTATCAGACTATTCTCAACTTACAACTTAAACATTCTCTATATCTATCTCTTACGGTTTGGCCGCTGAAACAGCACCACGGACGGACGGACGGACTTGTCTAATAGATAAGAGATATTATAACAATTACTTATATTGTGTTTATCTTTGTTTCAGATATAATAATAGAAACAGATTCAAGCTGGAAAAAACCTAAACAGTCCGTAAGACTCAAAACTGCGTGTGATATTATTTAATTAAATTACGAATAAAACGTATATTTATTTCTTAGTTCTAAGGACGCATTTAGTAAACTGACAATACTCAGTCAATTAGCTCAGTGTCAATACAAAAGGACGGTCTATAAAGGAGGTGCTACAAAAAAGGTTGTTGAATAAAGACATTTAACATGAAAGACACAATGAACTGCCCACACACGTTGTCCAACGACGTTGTTTACAAAGAAGTTGTCGTTATAGGTGAGTGTTTTCCTTCTTCATAATCAAGGCCACAGCCAGCGTTGCTAGACCTTCCGATTTTAGCGGGACGTCCTGATTTTTAAATCAAATTTAATTATGTTTTTATTTATTTTTAAGCATTTAACTGCTAGATGTTTAAATCTAAAGAAAAGTTTACTAGAAAAAAAAAATCCACTAGGACCAGGCAGCGGACGGGACTCGAACCCGCACCCTTCGCAATCCGGGCGAATGCACTGACCATTATGCTAACACGGCCCTATTGGCCGCGTCGGAATTTTCCTAGCCTTAAGCTGCAAGGCAGCGCCATATATATACAATGCGAAGAGATGTTTTTTTTTTCTAGTAAACTTTTCTTTAGATCAAAATTCCTGCCGCCCGCCGCCTGCCCGGCACGTAAAATAAAGATAAATGTAGTTTTCCAATTACAGCATTATAGCGCATTATGCGGCATAATGCTTAACGTTGAGTGTTTCAACTACAGCAACGCTTCGCACAATCAAGCACTCTCAAAAGTAATGCTTTCGTGTGATGCGTGCAATCTTACCAACTCGGTGACAGAAAATTAACAAGTGTTTTTTCTTTAAGTTGGCACTGATCGAAACGTTTTATTTATATGTTATCGTAAGTAATATTATTTATTGTTGAAAAATTATTAAAGCTTTCGTTTCATTAAATAGTTTTTTTTAAATAATCAAAGTTCATTCAAACTGTTAAAAAAATAAATATAAGTATGGATGAAGGTACAAACATTGATTTTTTTTTCAACACTGAACTAAGCGCACTCTGCTGGTGCATTTGAAAACTAATTCACGTTCCAATTATGCATCAGCATAATTCGGCATTGTGCGCCACTGAGTCGCATTATGCTCTGTAATTGGAAAACAACCAAATACTCAAAAACTTTTGATTTTATACGTTTTTTACTATGTCCCGCTTACAACGGAAGAATCCCGCTTTTTTCACTTAAAAAAGTTCCTAAATCCCGTGTTGGCAAAAAAAACTGGCAACGCTGGCCACAGCACGGGATAAATGACCAGTAATATTACTCTTATTGGTGTTAAAACAAACCTAACAACACGATTGTACACAATAGCCGAAAACATACAGGCATATAGCGAAATAAACAACGCAATTTATTAATTCGCGTGTCAAATGGATGGTCTTCATCATCTCACTCTTATTTCTTCGCGTTACCGTTCTCAATACCGGCCGTCAATCAATATCTAACTTTGTCATATTAAGCTGTAAAATCCGTATAATTGAAATAGGTGACCAGGGACCATGCTTTTTCACCACTTAAGGCCTACGCAGACCGGGACGGCATGGCAAGGGATTTAAATTTTTACTAATGGACATTCAACCGTACTGTTACAGAAATACGACATAAATTGCTATGCTTTAAAATGATGCCGTGGCATTGAGAGGGATTTCATCGCACAGCATTAAAAGACGTGCCACAGGCTCCCGTGGCGGGATGCCATGGCATACTGCGGTAGGCAACGACATGCCACGGACTCCGGCGCTCGTAGTGATATACTGCGGGGTGCGGCGGCGGGGGTAGAGAAGCGGGGAATTCACCCTTTGATTCCCTTTCTTTCCATAGATTACCAACCCAAATCTTCTTCTATCCCTATTATCAGCCTATGCACCTACTTCTTCATCTGCAATAATCGATATCAACACCAAATCGCTGAAGCGTGCTTTGTCGTGCCGTGGCATAGTGCTGGAATGCCGCGGTATCTAAGCGGTCAGTGTGCGCTGACTCACGGCAAAATCCCTTGCCATGCCGTCCCGGTCTGCGTAAGCCTTTATGCGTTCGTGAGTACACAAAACTGACACACTTAGAGATGGGCGTTTTTAGATATTTGTGAAATCAGTGCGTTTCCAAGAAGACGTCTACTTCCGTCTATGTCTGTGCGAAAACAGATTCAGTATTTGAGTTGCAGTAATGTGTTTGATGCTCTTGATCGGAATGATCTAAAGCTTTGAAACGTTTTCCAAAATCGACCTTAAGTCGAGAGCTTATTCCTGCATTATTGATTTTAATGGTTTTTCTTGAAATAGAATTTGACTGAAGTTTTTCTTCAACCCTTCTTGTTTACGTAATAAAATCGAGTCATCAGTTAATTGCAAAAAACGGCTAAGCCTAAACTAACTAAGTGAATGACTTTGTTTGATTGTGTAAGATAAAGAACTTTTTTGCATTGTCACAGCATTTTTTTATTCATGGATGACTATATCTCGAACATTATCCAGCCTTATAAATAAAATTGTCCCAGTCAATTTAAACAGCTCGTGCTCGTAATCGGAGACAGGACGATTAAAGTAATTCATTGGGCGTGGTTGCTGTTACCGAGTGGAGTTAGTTCCTTTATAGATAAGGGTCACAGCTCACTAGACTCACCCGGCACCGTTTCAGCTCGTGTGGTTGATATTCTTTGTATGGTACCCATAAATACATGGGTATACGCTCTCTACATCAACTCCGTAGCGTCACCGGATCGCCTCGCTCGCAAGCGTTCCGTGATCAACTCTTTGATGGTACGGAGTACATTGTACAAACTAGTGATGTAACGAATGTAATTTTTTGAACATTATGGACTTTTTTCACACTTTGCGATGCTGAACGAGCTAAATGAAAGCTGTGTAACAATGAATATTCAAGGAAAGGAAGAACTACAACTTCTTCAAATTGTTTTTCTCTAATATTCATATTCGCAAAACATTCACAGAGATTTTGCGAATGCGAATGTGAATGCGAATATTCGTTACATCACTAGTATAAACACACGTGAACACCTAGTGATGATCTCTAACACACTACTTCGCGCGGCGTTCACCCGTCGACCACCTGACGTTCACTAGTTAATAACGAGGCGTCCACCAGACGTTAGCTAGTTGACAACACGGAGTTTGCTCGTCGCACGACGTCCACTCCTGGTCGACGAGCAAACTCCGCGGTGCCGGGTGGCTATAATGAGCTGTGACCTTAAAGCTTTCAATCATTGTTGCGTTGCCGTTGTCGCTGTCAAACTCTGAACTGACGTCGCACGCTCCAAGTAATTGACCAGGCGTGGTTGCAACGAGGAATTTTCTCGTTCTGACTCAATAAACAGACCTTGGTTAATTCCAATAGGGATGATGACAATTTTTTTTTCTTCGTATATCAGGTAGATTATCAAAAAGTATTGGACAAGTGTTTTTTCTTTTTTCACATAATATAAACATTGCAGAGATATATTGATTTGAAAAGTCGCATGACGTCACGTTTGAGTACACTTTTAAGTGAAAATTCACTCAAAACTGACGTCACGAACTTTGAGGCGCTATAACTTTGTAATTTTTTGGTTGATTGCCCAAAGAAGAAAATACGTATCCATTATTTTTTGATCATCTAACTGACGGACTAAATAGAATTTCGTTTACTGTACCCCGTCATTACCCCTATTGCGCTGCTCTCCGATAATATTCCACCATCTTATGGATCATTTGATGAGTAAACAATCAGAACGAAATGAGACAATACCACATTACAATTGATAAAGGTCATATTAAATCTTTTGATGTTGATGATGAATTTAGCAATGATTCGCGATTTTCAGGAGTTCTTCTACTTATGTGGAATCATATCTTGCTGTAGCAAATGATAATTTAAAATATATTTTAAAGTACTTACGAATGAAAAGTGATGCCGTGGGTTTTATTTTAAGTTCTTGAGCAATTTGAGCACTTTTTAAAAACATACTTAGGCATTGTTTTATCATATAAACACAAAATATTAGCAATATTTCTTTTTGGCGTTCACATGTACGTCGTTTGCATGTCAAGTTGTGACTAAAGCGATTAGGGTCGTGGACCACAATTCATGCGGATCACTTTTGTGAGGCTAGTGCCGTATCTACCCTTTTTATTTTAATCTAAGTGTATACCTGTTTGTTATACCGTCGTTTTGTTGCGTTTCAGGGAACGGACCCAGCGGCATGGTGACGTCATTCATGCTGGCCGGCAACGTGCCCTACCTCAAAGAGGTGCCCGAAGACTTGCCCATTGACGAAATGCTCAAAGCAAGGTGCGTGGAAAATTGTTGTTTGGAAACTTAATGATTTTATGATAAAGCTCCGTCATGCTTTCTTTGTTTTGCACAGCAATATGAGACCCACTGCTGGAGCACAGGCTTTCCCATGGATGGACTAAGGAGATTGGGTCATGAACTACCTCGCGGGCCCAGTGTGGGTTTGTGGGCGCTAACGACTGCAGATGCAGCCGCGACCAACGGCTTAATGTGTCTTCCGAAGCACGGAGTAAATTTTTCTCACCCATCCAATGACTGACTACTGCGAAATTTGTTTTATTTCGACAATCGCAGCCAAACGTCACCACATTCGCCATCAAGCTTCTCCACAAGATAGATAAAAAGGATATTAGACCAGTTTTTGAAAAAGATCTCACGTTATTTTCTAATGTTTATGGAGTCCATAAAAAGTGGATGTTCATCATTCTGTTGCGAATTTCAGTAAAAATACTAAAACTAAAATACCATTTAGAAGTTGCCGCGAAAACGTTCCTCTGGACATTGTGGCGTCTCACTGCTCTGTGACACGACTGTCATTAAAACGCCAAACGATACAATATAATGTCACTCTGCCCGGTCGTTTACTAGCGTGTGACGTCATTTTAGTTTTCGCCAATCCCAGGAGTTCTCGGTCACGTGACGATAGAACAAAAAAAAACCGTTTCTATTTAATGATTTTTTCCAAAAGTTAGTTAATTTATTTGTTCTCCCCGAACAGTAAAATCGCCGCTAATATTCCTATTAAATACAGATGTCAACAATTGATGCTTTATTTTTCATACTGTAAAATAGCCTATTTTTCGAAAGCTCATAGCAAACTATACGTAATAAAACTAGTTTTTACGGGGTAATGCACGAAAACTTTATTTATTTATTGACGTTTGGTAGTCTTTACAGGCAACGTAGTCAGAATAAAAAAAAAACCTGTTTTTTTTTCTGACGACGTAGCCTGTAAAGACTACGAAACGTCAATAAATAAATAAAGTTTTCGTGCATTAACCCGTAAAAACTAGTTTTATTTATTTAAACTATACGTAAGTTGGCCGCAATGACCAGTGATGCCGGTAAGGTGTGCGGCCAGTTAATGCAGCTAATTGCGCGATATTCATATGGTTCCTTAAAGCGCCTACTGACATGCCTGCCGCAGGGACAATCTAGGGTGTAAGAGTGGGGATGACCCTAAATTGCCTCCTGAATTATGATGTGTGTAGGCAAGTTGGGGCAATTTTCTTAATCGGGCCTACGGCAGGGCGGCAGGAGCGCGCGACCACCCTTGCTTCCTAGATTGTCCCAATCGCCCTGCACGTTGCCGCGTGTTTAGGGCGATTTAAATAAATCGCATCGTTGCGGGCACTGGTCGTGGTTAGCGTTGCCAGGATTTCGGATAAAGCCGGACATTAGGGTTTTTATCGCGTTTCCGACCAAAATAAACGGTGTCCGGCTTGTCTGGCTTATGTAAGGATTTTACATTTCGCAAAACGAGCGCCGAGCGTTACCGAGCGCAAGCTAAGTTGTCTGTCGGTCGGTTTAACATAAAATTTTTGTCGTATCTTATATTACTGGGCCACAAAATCCACAATAATGTAGTGTCCGGATTTTTTACCCAAATGTCTGGCTGAATTAGCTGATCTGTCCGGCTTGGCAATCTGACAACTCTAGTCGTGGTTATCGCCATCTAGTGCGCGTGGTGCCTTAAATTGTAAATAGTGCGCGTGGTGCCTTGATATATGCGCATTGGATTTTTTCATGAATAACTTCAGATAAGGTCAAGTTATTGACGACCTAATGTGACGACCTCCGTGGCCGGGTGGTTTGTACGCCGGGTTTCATGGTTGTCGCCGATTCGAGAGGGTTCGAATCCTGGTGGGGGCAGATGTTTGTGTGATGAATACGATCATTTGTACTCTAGTCATTAATGTTTGATATGTATTTCTATGTAAATATATTAATATATGTACAGTATATGTATTCTATCCGTTACCCTAGTATCCCATAACACAAGCCTTACAGTGCTTTGGGGCTAGGCTAATTGGTGTGAGTGTTGGAAATATTTATTTATTATAGTCGAGCTGTTTGCTTTTAAAAGTAAGTTTTTCTATAATGTTCTCATCATTATTTTATGCCTTTGTTGACAGGCTGTCAAATCTACCAAAAGGGCAGAGTCTATACGAAGCAGATCTTATGGAGCTAGCAGAAGGGTTGGAGGGAAGGAGCCAGAACCCAATACCGTTACTGGTAAGCAGCTCCCGTTTGCAAGGGCTAGTTTAAGGATGGGTGGGCAAAAAGCTCTGATGGTTGTCTTCTATTTGGTTATTAACTTCATATGCCTACATTATAAGTCGCGGCACGAAACTCTAGCGCCGACCGTTATTGCGCAGAAGTAAACATTAAGATGTGTTGCGGGGAAACGCAAGGGCGGATCCAGCTTTGGCGCCAGGGGGGGGTCATATAGCCAGCATTGGCGCCAGGGGGGGGTCATATAGTTGTGGTATATTAAATATTGAAAGTACTTAAATAAAATCCCCCTGGGTTTGGTCCATCTATACCCAGCCCAGGGGGGGGTCATGACCCCCCCCCCCCCTGGATCCGCCCTTGGGGAAACGAGGTGCGCGGGGGGGCGTGCGTTGCGCCGATTGTCTCTCCAGTCGTTTGGTTACGCGCAGCTATCATAGAAGTATAGGAATTGAGTGGGGAAGACGGCCCTAAAAGTGTTCGTCCAGTAGAAAGAGAAAGAAGATGAGAGACGGCTGGCCTTTCTCTCTCTAATCGCGAATGCGCATTGGATGAAAAAACCTACGGATGAATACTGACCAATCACACGACTGAGCAGCAATACCGACCAATCACACGACTCCGCAGCGTCACAAGAGAGAGAGATAGCTAGCCGTCCCTCATCTTCTTTCTCTTTTTACTAGACGGACACTTCCACTTGTAGTAGAGTACATAGCTCCCTTACTCTATTCTCATACCTCTATGGCAGCTATACCCCCAGCGTTTTGTATGGTGCCGTGCTGAACTATTTTACAAAACATATCCCATTTTCCATTATTCCATTATCAATGGTTTCAGATGTCATCATAGTTTAAATTCTAGGTAAGTAGGTACGCTTTTGTGTGTGTGTGTTCCAAATATCGCTTACTAATATCTATTGAAATATTTCGTGTCGTAAGCTACTTACATTACTAACATCGTCGAAAACAATTGATTTGTTATTGCTATTCAATAGGTTTTGGATTTTTCCTAGTGTACTTGTTATTAAATTTTCTTTAACTTAAAAATTTGTATACTACCTACTCGTGTAAAAAGTTAACTTGAAGTATGACTAGCCTAAAATAGAGTTCGAGGAGAGATAGAGTTTCGTGCCGCGAGTTCGAGTCTTAGATTTAAACAAAAAGGCAAGATACGGCATTCGCGGCCCAAAAGTGATCCGCTTAAATTGTGGTCCACGACCATAATTCACTTAGTCACAATTTGACATTCAAACACGCTGCATGTACACTCAATATAACAATATTGCGTATATTCTGTGTTATGAAGATATAACAATGCCTTCGATGCTTTTATAAAGAACACAAATAGTTCAAAATCAAATGCCCCGGCAACACTTTTCATTCGTAAAACTGTGAAAACATTTTTTTCTCAAAAATCACGGTTTGTCGTGAATATTATTTACGTAATCGCCATTTTGTAAGCAAGAAAAGGACAACAATAAGCTGCGTTGAAGCGTATAGTTCTGTCTCGCTCGCTCGATTGATGTTTATATACAAAGGTGTGCGTGTTTTTTTTTTGTTTCCTCCCAGGCGGGGGAGCGGTTGAGAAATCCTCATGGATACCCTACAGCCGGCTGCAAGGTTATGTCAGACTCGTACTGACTAAAAAACACCGGTAGGGGCTGCCTCTGGCCGGGAAGGACTCTAAGGCTTCATCGGAAGCGATCGTCCCCCAGGGGGGGGAGCGACGCAGGGAAGAGTTGCTTATATAGTTCAGTCGGATCATATTTTATTTGATGATAGTATAAGCGTACCGTTTCTACCCTTTTTGTTTTAATCTAAGGTTCGAGCAGCCGCTGCGACTTCGTGTGCGTTAACTTAAGTTTTTTGAAAATCCCTCTGTCCCTTCCCCTTCCAGGTTATAAGTCTGTGTGTAAAATTTCATATACATCCGTTCAGCCGTTTTTGCGTCATTAAGTAACAAACATACTTCTTCTTAGTCGTTCACTCTTGTCAGAGTGGTCGTGGTCATGTGCCGGTCAGAATATTGCGCCACCGCTTCCTTCGTGATGCGACGCCATGTTGCTCTGTGTTTTGCAGAGTGGGAGTTGTCGTTGATGCTGGATCGTGTGACAGATTTGATGAGATCCGTCCACCGTGTAGGAGAGCGTCCACGTGATCTTTTGCCCTCGACTTTGCCTTGCACCACCAATCGTTCCAAAGATTCCTCGTTACGGGTAATGTGCCCAAAGAACTTGAGGATACGTATTTGCACAGTCGATGATAACTTCTTTTTAATTTGGAGTTCTTTGGAATCGGAACATTGGTTCGGTGCGCAGTCCACGGGATGCGAAGCATGCGTGTCCAGCACCACATTTCCAGAGCGTCAATCTTGCGACGGTCTCGCATCCTCAGCGTCCACGTCTCAGCTCCGTATAGAAAGATTGGAAAGACCAGGCATCTCATTAGTCGAACCTTTGTGTTTCTGGTTATTCTGCGGTCCTTCCAAATCTTGGTGAGTTTCTCCACTGAGGATCTAGTTATGGCGCAACGTCTCCGGATTTCGTCCTCGCAACTTCCAGCGTTGGTGATCGTGGATCCTAGATACACGTAGCTGTTAACCAACAAACATACAAAGTTACACATTTATAGTTTTTGATCGAGAGGCAGAGTATTGTTTCATCGGCCATTTTTATTGACAACTCGCTAGCTGGGGCTGCGTTCCAAACCTACGCTACGAGTACAACTTTTCACTGTGACGTTTCAATTTTGACATAAAATGTACGAAACTTATGTCAAATTTGGCATTTGTGTATGACAGCCACGTGAGCCGTAAACGGCGTGTGTAGAGAAACATGCTTCCGAAACATCATCATCAGCCTATTAGTGTCCCCACTGCTGGGGCACAGGCCTTCCATATGGATGGAATAGGGAGATTGGGCCATGACCCACCACGCGGGCCCAGTGCGGATTGGTGGATGCTAACGACTGCAGATGCAGCCGGGACCAACGGCTTAACGTGCCTTCCGAAGCATGGAGGAGCTCGAGATAGTACATTTTTTTGGTCACCCATCCAATGACCGACCACTGCGAAAGTTGCTTAACTTCAACGATAGCAGCCGAACGCGCTAACCACCCGCGCCATTGAGCTCCTCGAGCTTTTGTATTTGTTAATTGTTTTCAAAAAAGCTTTAGCAAGAGACCCGGCTATACTTGAACTTCTATGGCGGCTATAAGCGAAAGGTATAGACTGAATTCCGCCTGAAATTGTCACGCCTGGGGCTGATGAATTAATTAAGTTTTTGTTATGCGAATTGTTTAAACATTGAACTACAAAGGAAAGTCTATTTAATTACTTAAATTTATTTTGTTAAATAATGCCTGTTTTTTTGTCCATCTGTTTTTTATATCTATTAATAGGTTTTCCTTCCTTCCGCAAATCATTATAATTACTTGATCAGACCTTCAACTAGCCAGTTAATTGCTCTATCAATCAATTGCCAGTCTCATTATTATAAGTGGATACAGGACACAATACTTGTAAACTTGTAAGATTAAAAATATCTTTTTAAGCTTCTTATTATTATTTTTACAGATAATTATTTCTCCATCTTCAATAAAGAAATAACAAAATAAATTCATCAAAAATAGAAAACAATTTTCATGTATTGAGTAAATTTCTCTTTTCGTTTTAATAAAACATAAACAAGTTTAAATCTAAAGAAAATATAACTAGAAAAAATTTCACGCGTACCAGGCATATAAACATTATAACTATAATTGCTATTTCTTCTTTCAAATGTTTAATACTTGTAAAAGTATTCATTTGACATTGTGGGTTACCTACAATGCGAAGAAATGGTGCTGCCTTGCAGCTTAAGAATGGCTAGAGGATTTTCGACGCGGCCGCCAGGGCCGCGGTAGCATAATTGGTCAGTGCATTCGCCCGGATAGCGAAGGGTGCGGGTTCGAGTCCCATCTGATTTTTTTTGTAGTTATATTTTCTTTAGATTTAAACATCATGCAGTTACATGCTTAAAAAAACATTATAAACAAGTTACTAATAGCGCGAAAAACGACAAAACAGGTTTTCGCTACTAAAAAGTTTCGATAACTTCTTCCGTTCGCTTCAGGGAACTAAAAACAGCTAATACCAGTTTACCTATTGTTATAGGTTGTATAGAATAGAACGACAGCGACCACCATCACAAAATAGATAGTACAGAAGGTAATCTACATACAAAGTGCGCTCGAGCAACGTACACGAAGACACCGCTCACGGACACGATATCTCGGACCATTTGGGACCACTGTAAGCGTGAATTCCGTCCGCTTGTTCTGCGTCTGTGACCTTTTTTGTGCAAAAATAGAGCAATACAAAATGTTATTACTTATGTCTCAGTAGACGGTTGTTTAAATTCAACATTCAATTGCCGTTTTTTTTATTTGTAATATAACAATAACGTTATAATTGAAATAGTTATGTTATTATTGGTTTATACTTCCGTACATTCTATTTCATTATCAACAAAAAATCAAACACCTGATAAGGGTCCATTACACGATAGTTTTTTGTGCATAAGGCCAAGTGGACAATCCTAGCCGCGACCGCCGAGCATATGTATGCAAAGTGAATTACGTACATGAGATTATCTTCTGTGCTGTCTATTTTGGGCCATTATTTCCTTTTTTTTCAATACGGCCTTCGCTGAACTGGTTTAAAGAGGTCGTTGGAACGATCGTTGAATGGAAGTCGAACAAAAAATATGTACTAAACTTTTTGCTCTTTGTAAAAAGTACAGTGGGCAACAGAAGCGTTTGAGCATTTTTTATTTCTCTATGATTATCCATCGTTACTTAAAAAGTCTTTAAAAATTGTCGCGTGAAACTTGACTTGTCTGCAAATTTATTAGTTTTTTCTTTACCGTTGTGAATGAGAAGAGGAAGATAACCGTAAAGTGTATAAAGTACTAAATTTCACGTAGTAGACAGTACATCTATAGTTCTCTCTGTAACTGAGGTGAT